AAGGCAACGGGGGCTCCATCCAGCCCTGTCCTGTCTAAAGCAACACGCACCCTGCATACACACGAATAGGCAACACTGTTCCTGCTGACTTCCAGCTGACCATTGGCCCGAGGAGCGCGAGGATGGTGCTGAGGTGGCAGTCGAGGCCAGTTATGCCGAGGCCAGTTGTGCTTGTGATCTCCAGCATATTCTGAAATCAAGCGGTGGCGCAGCCTGCGACCGCAAGAGTGGATCAACGGTGCGAGCACACATGCAACCACACAGGCAAAATGGTGGGCGAAAGTGTGCAGATTTGGGAAACTTTCAATGTGAGTTGGTTACATTGGTCGTATCCCTTGTGGAAGGTTCCTGCGCCTTTGGCACAACCTCCGGCAGCTGCAGCCGCGACAAAGCAGCTCGTCTCTGCCATGCACGGCCAGAGGCCGGGCCGATCCCACAGATTCGTTGTCATGGTCGTGAACATCAACGGTATTGACGGTATGAACGCCAGCGGCCGCGAGCGTGCACTGCCTTGGCCACCACTCGGAGCATGGGCGCATGAAAGCCCGTACGGAGACTTGTAGGGGGTCCACAGTGAGTCCAGAGGTGGTGATTGTCAGTCATAGGCTCACAGGGTCCAGAGTGGACCTGCGCCTGGGGGGCATCGGCAGATGATAGAAGAGCCAACCCTGACTCTTTTCCAACCTGGCGGAACCCTTCGTAACCTTCACCATCCCTGACCCCCAACCTCACTAAACCAATGCGATCTTTTGCAACTTGCAGGTCCCACTCCGTCGAAGGGCGAACCCGGTCCTACAAGCAGTTCATGTTGGAGCCCTCTGGCATGAAGCAAAAACCTACTCAGAACGATATTCCAGGATACGCCAGGAACCGGGCTTGTGGGGTGTTTGGACTTAAACTTACTGTCACTGCCATCACTGTCAGCCGTCCAAAAACCTCTAGGCTATAGCCCTATATACGTTGAAGATGGTGTGTGAGACTGAGACTGACACATGTGATGGGTTACGGAGGTTCTCTCAAAGCGCACGGTGCAAACACATTACCAGCAAACAGAAGCTTTCAAAGGTTGCTTTCAGTCTCTTCAGATCCTGACCGATCCTGTTGCACCTTGTGTATATAAATGTTGAGATTCTTCTCTGTGCAGGCTTTTGGTGCCTACGCGCAGAGAGAGAGAGAGAGAGAGAGAGAGAGAGAGAGAGAGAGAGAGAGAGAGAGAAGAGAGAGAGAAGAGAAGAGAGAGAGAAATTCAGTCTTGACTTCGGCATACCATTATACAGGCGTGCGTCCACACGACATACCGTGAAAGCCGCTCCGCAATGCTGGGGCACGCGCATCGCGCGAGGGCCCCGTGCCCTCATGCCCCCAAGAAAGAAAGAGAGAAAGAGAGAAAGAGAGAAAGAGAGATACTCGTAGTGCCCTCAAGCCCCCAAGAAAGAAAGAGAGAGAGAGGGACCCCTTCGAGGGTTAAGTGCGCTGGAAGGAAGGAAGGAAAGAAGGAAGGAAGGAAGGCAGGCAGGAAGGAGAGAGAGAGAGAAGCCCCACGAGATCGCTGAGGGGCCTCCGTAGAGCTCACAGGCCATCGTGGCCGGTGCCACCAAGAGACCCTTCTCGCACAGGGGGTCCATTTTTCACAGAGGACAGACACAGCGGGCAAGCGCAGCCGGGGTCCTCGGGGGCCTCTTCGCTGAGAAGAAGAAGAAGAGGAGGAAGAAGAGGAAGAAGAAGAAGAAGAAGCAGAACCAGAAGAAGAAGAGAAGCCGCGCGCCAGAACGAAAGAGCGCAAGAGCGAAAGAGCGAAAGCACGAAAGGGCGAAATCGAAAGATCCAAAGAATGAAAGAACGAAAGAAAGAGACAGAGACAATCAGAGTTAGTGCGAAAGAAAGAAAATGATTAAGAGTCGGGTTCAAAGGAGGGATTCAGACATCAGTATCTTCTGTGAGGTGGCATCCAGACAAAAGGCCGCCTGCAGAGCGTGCCACAGCCACGGCAGTATCTCGGGGCACATATGGTGGCGTTGCTCGACAGACACACCCCGCCCTGAAGCCGTAACCTCTGAACAGCTCGCTACACCGGAGTGTCTTGCCGAACAGAGGCGTTGGGCTTGAGGGTATTGTTAAGGAGGGGAGGCGGGGGGCCATGGAGGGGCCGTGGAGGGGCGCAAGGTGTGCCAGTGGCTGTTGGGGCCGGCCCGCTGCTTCTTGGCCGGCTGAGCCGAGGCGGATGATTACGATGGTGAATTTTGTCACGTTGGAGAGGAATATTTTGGAATTGTGAGTTTTGCTTCCAGTGATTTGGTGGGGCTTTTCGTTTCCTCACCCGGAATGCACAGCCCCCTACAAGATCTCTAGGTTTCAGGGCTTTTGGGTTCGGAGGCATGGGCTGAGGTTCCAAAATTTCGAGGCATGCGTATGTGTACGTGCGAAAGAGACCATTCGTCGAGTAATTGCACCCAAGATTGAGATCAACTTACCCTTACCTATCGTCGTACGATGAGCTGCAGTTTCCATGACACGTGGGCTGTTGAGATGGTATTGATACCCGTGTATAAGGGCAATGGGCATGTGGCAGACACAGAGGAGCAGGTGATAGCGAGCTGGAAATCCCTTGAATGAATTTGGGTCCAGGAAGAGCCCCAACCCTAAATGCACAACAAAAAACCTGTATTCCCTAGTGGGTCAGCTAGGCGGGCGGCAAAAAGCCTGTATACCAAAACCATAAACATGCATGGGGTCAGGCGCCCTCGGCCATCCAGACCGTGCCTACCTGATGCGGAGATTCGAAAACAAGGGCCGCTTCAGTCAGACAGTCGTTGAGTCATTCCCGGCTCGCATCTCGTCCCGTTGGCCTTGTTGGGGCACGGTGCTACACGTGAAACTTTTTGAGGGCATCGCGCTTCGTCAAGAACATGCGACACGTTTTCCGACAAGCCAGTCTGAAAAAGAGACGACACTCTAAACCTTCGTGGAAGCCCGCGCGTTTGTTTGCAAAACCCTGAGCATGTGCTATCGATTTAGCTCGCTGGACCTGTAGGTTGGATGGCTCAAGCCTTTACATTCAACACATCTTCGGGTGGGCTGGGTGGAGCCATCATGAAGCCATCTCTGGCAGTGATTCTATCCATGGTGCTTGTCCAGGGAGTGCCCGCAGCAAAGGAAGCACGAATGACTGTGTCTGCGAATGGCGGTGTGACCCTGGTTCAGAAGCGCAGTGTTGGCGGCAAAATGGACCAGGCGTCTCTGCGAGGCCAGTCCATGATCTTCCGCAGCGAGGCACTGGTACTTCGAACCTATGACGGCAAGTATCTCCACTCGGACGGCAAGACAGTCTGGGTGGGCCAAGAGAATACGGCACAGACAGAAGTCCTGCTCCGATCGGCAGGAGCACAGTCAGCGACTGCTGCCCTGCAAAGTGGAGATGAAGTCTTTCTGGAGACTCGAGGAGGCCATCGCCTGGAGCTTGTGGACGGGGCCGTCAACGTGCGCCCAAGGACTTACAGACAGGAGTCGCAGATTCTCTTTGTGCAGAGACAGGGCAGCGATGGAGACTTGGAGGAGGGTGACCCTGCATTCCTGGTCTCAGCAACTGGTCGGGCTCTTGCTGTGGAGGGCGGCAGGGTGGTGACGAAGAAGCCGGACATGGGCAACGGAGAGGCTTTCCTTTTGGAGAAAGCCACTTCGTCCGCGCCACCGAGCCAGTGGGTCGTAGTGCCCAATCCAGATGGACATTGTGACCCTACACTGGAGTGTCATCGCAAACTGAACGTTTCCTGCAGAAGCCCGAATGGAACGCTTCTGTCCTTCGCAGACTGCGACCACCATGCTCGGCCATGGAGCTACGAGCCTTGCTTCCGCTCGCCCCTGGGCTCCTGCATCGACTTCGCTGTGTCGGACTGCGTCGACATCCCTGGGAATTGGTGGAACCCAGCGGGCAAGACCTGCGCCCAGTACGGCGTGGAGGACTGCGAAGACGAGCTGGTGAGCCGTGCATGCGGACAGACTTGTGGCGGAGGGTGCCAGCCCGCGAAGACCGTGATGCCGGTTGCCGCAGGATGCCAGGACGACCCTCTGTACAGGGGCACTTTCAACTGGCTTTGCAGCTGGTTTAGCTCAAGAAACTGCAGTGCCTACTTGTTCAAGGATGAGTTGCAGAGGGCGTGTCCAAAGTCATGCGGCCTTTGCTGAGTTGGGCCCTTGACCGCATCTCGGCATGGGCATTTGTCCCATTTTGTCGCTATTAGCTCCTCTCTGCCGAGATGTGCTGAGTCCTGACTTCGCCTTGGCGTAAGACTCGTTGCATCTTTGGGCCCTTGAACCTGACATCAGCCGTTAGTGCCTTGTATATCTGTATCAGTTGTTGTTTCAGTTAAGAACCATGCCAGTTGACCGTCATATTCCGACAGCACGAGATGCTTGAAAAGCGGGCATTTCACATAATCGACCCATGTTCTTCAACGCCTGGCTGCTTTATCACCTTGGAATTCGCAATGGCTGGCATGTCTCAGCGCACGAACGCTTGCAGCAATTCTGTCCAATCTCAGGGGTTCCTGCGTTGGACATATGCCAGAAAGTGGCGACAGGCAAGCTTGTTTGGCCCAGGCCAATGCCTTGCTACAGTTGTAAAGATGCCCTGCTGCAGTACTGTAGACACAAGCTTACAGCAGACGCTAAACGACTGGCGGCTACAAATGCCTCCTACCTCCAAGCTTTCCAGCGTTTCTGCCCTCGACTCCTCGACATGAGCAATGTCTCATCTTTTTCGGTACTGGCCATGAAGATGATTGGAAAACGAAAGTTCGGATGCTGTCAAGAAAGTGCCACGTACGGACGGGTGACTTCGGAGCTTTGGGCTGCAGGGCTTGCTACCCGCTTGTGTAGGCGGAAAAAAAAACGGTGTGGTTGGTGGCTGCAGAAGAGAGAGATGCAGAGACACACGAACACCCTCTTAGCGCTCCGCTTTCGGGGTATACCCTTTCGAAGAGACGAAGCCAATTTTCTCTCAGGCTTTGGGCGCCCAGGACAGCGAGCTGCTTCTGACATACCTCACAGCGCCACTGTCCCGCAACTTGCAACTCAACTCCGGAGTCTTGATGTTTTCAGCTTCCGGGGCTGTTAGGGGCTTGGAGGTTTACAGCGAGGACCCAGCACCCTTGCAGGCAAAGTCCCCCTATGAGCCCAGGCCGTACCTGAGAATACCACTACTGCTCACCTTCTTCACGGATCGCACGGCGCCCAGGATTGCTACCAGTAGGTGGGTTGGGGTGCACAGGCTCAGGACTCAAACTGGTCCGATGCACGATGCAAGAATATCTTGGGTGATTCAGAACGTTCAGGCTGAGGGTCTGTGCCAGTATTTACTGAGTTACCGTAGGGCATCCGGAGCTTTAGCGACTCGGCGTGTCGACAAGCAGCGAGTATTCCAGCGACAGCATGTGAGAATGTGCTATGCATGTGAAGCTTGTCTTGCGGGCGAGCCGAAAACTGTAACCTCCGAAACAGCCTTCGCGAAGCCAGGGCATCGTGTGTCTGCACTCCGTGAGCCGCAGCTCCAGGCGTGCTGCGGGCAGTATCCGGTAGCAATCGAGGTTTAGAGGAAAGCAGGCTTGCAGAAGAGGGGGTCGTGGGGGTCTCCGCGACTCCGGAAGAAAGGGTAGGGGGTATCACAGGAGCGTCCTGAAGAAATCTAAGCTTGAGCAAGTACGGGTCCATACATAGGCTCAACATCAGAAAACCAGGTCGTTCTTGATGCAGCCCTCTTCGAGCGTGGGCCTTGCCCAATCCGCTCGACTTGAAATTGTGTTGCAGGGTTGCATCGCATCTGCAATCTTGCTGACACATTGTTGATGCCCGCGGCTCTCATGGGAGCATCTTGGGCCGCAGAAACCTTGTACTTGTACGGTCCATTGTCTTCCTGAGGCAACGATGCAAGGAAGGCTAGCGTTTATGACACGATGTAGCCACTCATGCATCAGCTCCATGCGGTTATCTTGAGTCATGCTCTGCTCCTAAATCGTTCACTCATGCCAAATACGGTAGGATGCCAGCCGGTGTGCTTCTCGTGCGCTGTCTGTCGAGTCATGTCATTGAAGGTTGTTTTGCAAGACGCCGCCATAAAAAGATGAGCCCTGATGAACCCAAGCTTAAGTTTTTGGATCTTCGAGGCAAGAGCACCCTCCTCGACTTGTTGGAAGCCACACTTCCACAGTCAATTTCGCCATTACGCAGTGCCCCGCAAGCCTTTTGAGGCCGGGTCCCTGGCTTGACGGAGCGGCTGAGATTCCGGAAGAGGCAGTGCGTCGGATTTGTGGTTAAAAATCAGGAACCGAGGTTCAGGGTACTTGAGTGCTTGGTATCGGGCTTGGGCGCATGTTTCTTCCGCGGGTGCCTTCTCATCTGCATCACTACCTTGGCAACAAGGTGGCCGAGGCGAAACACTTGCAAGCAGTACATCTGACGGCCTCAACGACTCTGTAAATCAAACGCGTAGTGGACATAACCAGTTAACCGGCCATGAATGATTGGTTAAGCCTTATCCGTCAATTGAACTGCCTGTTGAATGCCGTCGCTTTTGAAGCTGACGGCCCCTATCGACCAGAGACTAGTGACTAGTGCTCGACGCGGAGCAGCAATCTTCGATGGGCCAAACTGGGAGCTGCGTCGGGGATGCAATCCGGAACCGGAACGGCAGCCCATTTGTCAAAAAGGCTGCTCCCCTTACGCAAGACTAGTATGCGACAGAAAAAGGGGCGCCTTCCCCTGCCCCACCCCTGGGGAGCAAGAGTTGAGTATTCGGCATTCATGCTGAAAGGGTGACGAGAACGTATATAGAAGCTTAGAGGGCTCTACAAGGTTTATGTTTGGCTGCGCGTTTTGCGGGCTGACCTGCACAAGCATCGAGTTTTGGGATGTCTTGGCTGTGACATGCTGTGACCAGATCCGGCTGCGACAGGTACCCGCAAGCGACCGCAGGCAAGCTTGGGTGGGTGCAGTAGCAGGCAGCTGTACTCAATGAAGGTGCAGTGAGGCTTTACAGGCGTTTGGGGATGCGTGAGGTTCAGCATACGACCAGTGGCCGAATAGGGGCTTGACTCAGGCACTTGGCGACACCAGCCGGGCTTTTCTTCAACGAGCTGATGAGGCGAGCTTTGGCGAAGGGGGTTGTTGTAGGGTGCCGGTTTGAAGACAGGGCTCGCATTATCATTAAGCCATTAAGCCTACATAAACGTGTGGCATTCCAGGGTTCAAGCATCAGGGCGTAGAAAGTACCTGCTCTCAGATGGCAAGCAGGGCCAGGTCGCTCCGAATTCTAGGATGTCGTTGGCGCAGCCCAATCCCAAGACGTTCGCATTGATTAGGTGTTTCCTGTGGCAGACCCGAATCGGAACAGTTCAAGTCCTTCCCTGCCTGTGTGCCTCCGTTCCGCCAATCTTTGGTCATTGCGAAGCCCAGCCGCAATCTCATCAGATGCTCTCTGTGAGGTCCCCGAAGCCCCTCATGGAAGCTGTTCTTTGTCTGTCTGAGCCTAAGTGGATCTATTGATGCGCCCGTTGCTCACTTCCTGCTGCATGAGCAAGGAGGTTTGACAGACGGCACTTTGTTTACCAACGGAAGAGGGCCTGACAAGCAGGCTTCGCGTGGCAGTGGAGAAGGATGTTGGCCGCCCTGGCTCAGCCAACGAAGGCCTCTCGGGGCCTCTTTCTTCTTGAGATCATGAAAGGTAGCCTCTGGGCAGTACAGTAAGAAGCATTTTGGCTGGGCATTGCCGGTGCGTTTGTTGGACAGGCCTCATCCTCTACATCGTCCGCTTAGCCGTTCGCGTCGAGTCATACCTGGCGTTCGCGATCATGCATGGCCGACGCCTCATGATCCTCACGTGGCAAACCATGTGACAAACCATGCTGCCGGGAAGCCATGCTGCCGGGAAACCACACCCGAAAGCTCCAAAGCCGTGCGCAGCTCCTGTAGAAGCATGGCTTGTGGCTTTAGACGAAGGTTGGCCCTGAGGCAAGGTTCTGGGCTTCGAAGTTCTTGAAGGGAGTGCGTTGCGCAGGAAGGACACAATGAGACTCCTGCAGGTCAACGAGGGGCCTATCTGGAGCGTTCGGGTGCGAGCTACGAGGCTTCTGTGCTCGGAGCCCAGTACATCAAGGCCATGGTATACAGAACCTGCTGAGGGGATCATTGGTCTTCATGCTTGAATACTGAATAAACGCCTTTGGGTGGGGTGAGGGGGATGGGGACCGTAGATTCTTGCCTCGATGGCTGGTACGGGATTTTGGGATGATCGACATGGTGTTCTGGAGCAAAGTCCTGGGGTCTCAAATGAAAGATCTCAACTGAAAGTGCTTTGCTGCGGACGGTTGTGAGAAGCTCGTGAGAAGCTTGTTAACGGCCACTTGCCACACGTGCTGGGCCTTCGCCGACGCCCACGCACGGGCGCACAACTGTGTCCTATGTGTACCTTCATGTCACATAGACGGGAAAATCGCATTTGTATTCATGTGCAGCGGAGTTGACCAGAGTCTGAAGTGCCGCCAAGGCGAAGCCTCGCCGTGCCCAAGGACCGGGTCTACGCTTTTGAAGGTGTTGCGAGGGACTTGGGGGGCGATTTTGGGATGACACGATTCTCTAGTTGCTCTAGTTTCTCCTTGTACATGCCGGGAGAAAATGAGCAAGACGGCAGGATTTCCAGCTTTCGCATTGAACGTCTGGCATATGGTCTGATTCTGATGTCCGAGTGAGAATCTAGTGAGTGCTCTTTGTGTTCTAGAGTCGGAAGTTTCTGAGTGATGGAGCAAGCAGCCAACGTTGTTAGCCTGCGGCCTTGGGCTGGTGAAGTCGAGTGGTACGAGCAGGTGATTGTCTGGAACGCTATTTGAATAGCAGACGGTTTTGGTGTCGCAGTCATTGGCATTCGGTGCCGGTTTTGCCAGCTCGTCGCTAAGGGGGAGTGCGTGGCGCTGCTGCATCGAAATGTGCGGTATGATAAGTGAAACTGTTGTGCACACTCTCGGCGTGCTGTAGCTTATTCAAGGGTTCAGTACCGAAGGTGTTGGGCAGACATGTTCACTTCATGTAAGAGTTTGCCAGATGTCCTAGTGGACGCATGTTCAACTAGGCAAGGGGCAAAAAAATCAATCGCGAAGTAGGTCGAAGGCAGCTTCTGAACCACCTGGCATAGTGGTGGATAACAGAAGTTGTTCTAAGTGGGTTTCAGCTTGAAGGGGGTGAGTCTAGGGCTCGCTGATTCGATCTAGGGAATCTACAAGGACAACAGGGTCATTGTGAGGCACAGGGATCCTTGTGAGGACACGGAGCTGCTGACGGCTCTCGAGGTTGGATGTGTTCTTTTGGCATCTCTTGTTGAATCTTCCTTCTCTGGCGTCCTCCCAATCCCCAGACTCCTTCCAACTTGGGCTTGAACTAAGTGGAAGTTCCGGGTGGAAGTATGCTTCTGAAACTTGTCGCCCTAAGTGTTGTCTCTGACTCGTGTGGCAAGTTAAGTTTTAGCCTGAGCCTGCGAACGCGGGCCTAACTACACATGAGATATCATGAGATTGGGGCGGGTACTATTCCATATTCTCGGCACGGCCGGCTAGCTTGATATCTTGATGTGTAGCATGTTAAGTCTTCGCGCTACTCGGGCCACCCAAGGTTGAGGTTGCTGAATGCTTGACGTGGTATACTCTACAGATCTCTACAGTCTACAGCATCCGATCGAGCATCTGATGCACAGTGACCTGCATAGGTGTGCAAGCGGACATCAGCAACGAAACACATGCGAAGCAACAACCAGCCGCCTGAACCGCAGCCTTTGTGTGAGCAGGCTGCGCATCTGCAGCTGCGACGCGAACTGCAAGGGGATGCCAGCCACAGAGATGTGAAGCCCATCCTGGGTTTAGGCATCCTGTTCTGTCATGAGTACGGTGTGTGCAGATAGCTACTGAACTGGCGTGACGTTCGCCACCCATTCTGATCCGACCATAGCTTGGGGCAAAGGTCTGGCGGATGCTCAGCGACTGGCTCCGATATGCCTCGAAGAGGCCTGCGTAGTGCAGATTCAGCAGACGTCTCAAGACAGGAGCTGAGTACCGACAAACACTAAGAAAATCAAGGATGTAGAAAATCAAGCATATCCTCCGGGGAGTAACCTCGTCTCGCCCCTTTGACCGCACAGTTTCCTGTGTCTCAGTTGCACTTACAGCCATCTCAGACACTCCAGCACAGGCATGAGATCCCCTGTGCCAGGACGGATACTCTGCTTCCCGCCGCCTGCCGAGTGCATGCGCATCTTGCACTAATCTTCAAGAATGCGCTGCGCTCAGTTGCTGCTGGAACTCAGAATATGAGGGCGATCAGTGCTTTGAGAATTCGAGCTGTCGAGCGTTGTGCTCTGCGTGTTTCAAGTCTGTCAGGTTGCGCATCTTTGATCATCTTTGATCATCTTCGAGTATCATCCGACCCTTAAGCCTAACCCGCACGCTCAACATGTAGCTACGAAAGCAGACGCCATGGGGTTGCAGTAGCCCCAGTAGTCCACTATTGGACGCGACAGGTCGAATGAATGAACTGCAGCTTGTGTCTCTGGCCT